CAATTGTGGATGCCTAGCTCTTATTGATTCCAATTTTACAGCAACCTCCTGTAAATAAATTAATATATAAGAAATTAACAAAAGAATGAATTAACCATAAAAAATTAAGGCCTTGAATAATACCACCAATATAAATTACAAACTACAAAGCCGTACAATTGGTGGGTGTATTAAAAGTTTGCACAACAAGTGATTGCAAAATGTCTGTATCAGTTACCTACAACTTTTAATTAGGTTACAAATATTTTTAGTCTGGCAGAAAGTGCTTATTTCCTGGTGAACATTCTATTAAACAATATTACTACACATAAAGCAAAACCAGTGAAAAATACTGACTTTTTTAAATTAAAAATATTATAACTGAACAATAAACAACAGCTATTCCAAGAGAGATTCATTACTTATAAAATAGGTGACTAAAATTCTGCTTGTAAATTCAACTGATGTACGTCAATTCAATTTCTACTATTACACAAGGAAAATCAAAAATTTTTATTTAAAATTTTCTGAGAAGCAATATCCGCGGTAAAGAAATACCAGCAGCTGATATGGCTGCCAGGGTTAAGAAGACTTGTGACAGGTATTGTAAAACATCACGAAAAATTTCACTATAGTATTAATAACGATTGATTGCAAACCAAATATTATTTTAATTAATATTTATTACTTACTTCTCCATTTGTTTTATTGATACCCAAGTAAATGTCACCAAAAGATCCGCTACCAATTTTGCGAACTAAACGATATTTTCCACCCACTACAAATTCACTTTTAACGCTTGATGACGCCATAATTAAAATTTGTTAAAGTATATAAGAGTAAATTTACAATTTTGAACACGGGCCACAATTTCCAAGCACAAGAACTATCACTTGTTCTTACAACACGCCGACATTTCTCTGTTTCGATGACTGTGACTGATCGTTTTTGTGACGTCACTTGAACGAACTTCACTCTTGCGGCGACCAAGAAAATTTCACTTATCGAACAAAGAAATCTGTTAAGAATACTGAATTAAATTGGACAAAAATACTTTAATTTTAAACAATATTGTATGCAAATGTCAATTTATATAATTTCTGACATATTCGCCTCTCAATAAATAGTAAACATGTAACAATTGAGCACTGAAGTCATTCATTTCATTAATCAAAAAGGGAAGGCGCCATCTACAAAATTCAAATTATTTTGCTAACTAATTACTACCACTACCAGGATTAATAAATGTTACAACAAACTTTATAAAACAAAACTACTAGAGACATTGCATCATTGCCATGTTTTCCATTAACTAACTATTAACTAAAACTTATTGTACAAACAACTATTAATTTATAATAATGATAACAAAATACCTATTTGACTTTAAAACATAAAAGTTTGTTAATAAATGCACGAAATACCTATTAAAAAAAGGAAAAGGAATTATTATTAGAAAAGTTTTAAGTACGTTTCTCGGAAAAGTCACATTTACAGTTTGAAAATGCAATTAGAAATTTAAATATAGGAGGCACACATTTGTTTTTCAGTATTTGCAATCGGTAAGTTATACAGAAACTATTCCCTTTTATGATACGTAAACGTGGAAATAGAAAGTGGTAGTTGACACGCGTTTATATGTATACACATATAGGTACATGCATACAGAACGTCCAACAAAACTGGCCTCGAAACACTTCTGGTTCGTGTTTTAGAATCCACCTTGACGAGCACGTTGCGGAAGTCAACCTTCTCTCCCATGCAACAACTAAACAGGACTTGCCACGTTGGCCTTTATAACAAATACTCACAAAAGCAAGTCTACAAAGTACCGAAAACTAAGCCTGAACTTAAATTCTTCTTAAATGTGTCCGAAATCAAGCGCTTTAAAATTTTTTTTGGGATAAGGGAAAAGTATGCAAATTAAAATTCTGGTTCATCTTCAAAATAACTAAGTAAGTATATAAATTTGTTGTTTCTATTCAGTAAACAGATTCAGTTGACATAAAAGTTTCTGAAATTCAAATAGCCAACAGGGACTTGCAGATTTCCAAGGATGTATAAGTGTATTTACTTCAAACATAAGAAGCGTCAACAGTTAAATTAAGATTCGATTTAGATTTCTTTTGACTCGCAGACCTGTTATCATTTTTACACTTACTTAACTGTATACACGTATGTATTTCACTGTTAAAACCAAATAATACAAATAAAATAACAAAACGGTAGTATCATTAGTACTGGAGGACATTTATAAAACTTTATATGCAATTAATTACAAAAACCGAAAAAAAAAAAAAACAAACAAACACATCGTAAATAAACACAGCCTGGTAAAAACTACGAGCTGCTACTGTGTGGGTGAAACATAGCTGAACTGCTATAAAAACGATTACTATTACGCTTGGAACGTATGTTCTGTAACAAATTCAAACAGATGGTAGGTACTTTTATTTATACACAGATTGATTCTCTAAACAGAAATCACCATCGGTTAGTTACAACCGGTTGGGAATATCCGTATTTGACGTAGTTTAACGGTACTTGATTCATTCTAAAGGAACTTTTATGATAATGAACAATTTCAGTTACTCAATAACGTACTACCTTACCCACAACTATTACTTTGGGAACGGTTAAAAGCATTACCTATTTTATTATATTTAACAATTACGGCAATAGCATCAATTCAAAAAACAAGTGTTTAGCAAGTACCTACGGTAACGTTTTAAGTAAGTGCGTAACATGTCTATTAAAAAACCAGTACCATGGTGTAGAAAGCCGAAAAAGCCGTTAGCAACTACAAAATAAGGATCTTCAACAGGCGAAGGAGAGGAGGTACCGGCGATATCAAGTTTTGGCTCAGCGCGTTGCAGTGACTCTCCACGTTTCTTTTAGAAAGTGCATCGACTATATTTATATATTTATCTAGGGACGAAGAACACTGAAACTAATTGTAGTTGATTACTGAAATCTAAATTTAAATATAAAAAAGCAATTCTCATTAATTACACCTTTTTTGTTTCCCNTGGCATAAATCACTTAATTAATATTTATTACTTACTTCTCCATTTGTTTTATTGATACCCAAGTAAATGTCACCAAAAGATCCGCTACCAATTTTGCGAACTAAACGATATTTTCCACCCACTACAAATTCACTTTTAACGCTTGATGACGCCATAATTAAAATTTGTTAAAGTATATAAGAGTAAATTTACAATTTTGAACACGGGCCACAATTTCCAAGCACAAGAACTATCACTTGTTCTTACAACACGCCGACATTTCTCTGTTTCGATGACTGTGACTGATCGTTTTTGTGACGTCACTTGAACGAACTTCACTCTTGCGGCGACCAAGAAAATTTCACTTATCGAACAAAGAAATCTGTTAAGAATACTGAATTAAATTGGACAAAAATACTTTAATTTTAAACAATATTGTATGCAAATGTCAATTTATATAATTTCTGACATATTCGCCTCTCAATAAATAGTAAACATGTAACAATTGAGCACTGAAGTCATTCATTTCATTAATCAAAAAGGGAAGGCGCCATCTACAAAATTCAAATTATTTTGCTAACTAATTACTACCACTACCAGGATTAATAAATGTTACAACAAACTTTATAAAACAAAACTACTAGAGACATTGCATCATTGCCATGTTTTCCATTAACTAACTATTAACTAAAACTTATTGTACAAACAACTATTAATTTATAATAATTAATTGCGTTAGCTGCTTTAGAAATCAATGTTTACTTAAAGAGGAACTTCTAAATATTATTTTTACAAACTCAAGTTGCAAGAAAACTTGATATATCTCAAATCTCACAAATTCTGGAGTAAGTTTGGCAACTATCACCTCGAGCTGTCTTCTTTCTGCGGCATTTAAAATAAGGTTATCTAACTGCGTTCAGTTTCTTCACTTTATTTTTGTTGTTTAAAATTTTAAAGTATTTGTAGTTTTAAGTTTAAAATATGTCGTTAATTGGTCGTAAAGCTTGTCGGTTATTTATTCAGGTAAGTTAAAGTTAGTACTGATGATATAACAAGTCATAAGATCCTTTGGTATTAGGCATCCCAAAATGCAGCAATTAGAAATATTCATAATACTTCGGCCGTTTGCAGCCCTCCGGTAAGTTCATAATATTGTTTACTATTAACTTTTATTTGTTGACACCCAATATCTTAGCCCGACAGAGAAGAACGCTTAGAGCATAGAGTTACATGCACCTTAATACCAGGTGATGGAGTTGGACCAGAATTGGTATATGCGGTTCAGGAAGTCTTCAAGTCTGCATCAATTCCCGTAGATTTTGAGACGTTTTTCTTTTCTGAAGTTAATCCAACACTAAGTGCTCCTCTAGAACAAGTAGCTGCATCCATAGCAAAGAATCGAGTATGTGTAAAAGGTATTTTGGCAACCCCAGATTACAGTCACACAGGGGAATTGCAAACTTTAAATATGAAATTGAGAAATGCCCTTGATTTGTATGCCAATGTTGTACATGTTAAATCATTGCCAGGAATAAAATCAAGGCATACTGATGTTGATTGTACAATTATTCGAGAGCAAACAGAAGGAGAATATTCTGCTCTCGAGCATGAAAGTGTGAAAGGAGTGGTAGAATGTCTTAAAATTGTTACCAAACAGAAGTCTCTAAGGATAGCTAAATTTGCTTTTGACTATGCAACTAAAAATAACAGAAAGAAGGTCACTGCAGTTCATAAAGCAAATATTATGAAACTTGGGGATGGACTGTTTTTAAGAAGTTGTGAAGAAGTAAGTTAAAGTCCTTTTTATGGAACTAATTTGGAAAAATTATTTATTTACTTTGTTTTTAATTGTTTTTCAATCAAAAGAATGAATTAACCATAAAAAATTAAGGCCTTGAATAATACCACCAATATAAATTACAAACTACAAAGCCGTACAATTGGTGGGTGTATTAAAAGTTTGCACAACAAGTGATTGCAAAATGTCTGTATCAGTTACCTACAACTTTTAATTAGGTTACAATATTTTTAGTCTGGCAGAAAGTGCTTATTTCCTGGTGAACATTCTATTAAACAATATTACTACACATAAAGCAAAACCAGTGAAAAATACTGACTTTTTTAAATTAAAAATATTATAACTGAACAATAAACAACAGCTATTCCAAGAGAGATTCATTACTTNGTTTTTTTTAATGTTAAATCAAAAGTTGAACTGGTATACCAGTATAAAAAAGTTACTCCTATTTAATTTTTATAATCATGAATCACGTTTTTGTATGTAAACTATTAAATCAATTAATTTTTTATGAATAAGAATGTGGGTGTTGTAGGCATATTAATTGGGGCATATTGAAACAATACTTGGGGTTAAAGTCGGGTAAGAGTAAAATATGAAAGAATATTTAACTTTTCCTGTTTTCAAACTTATTCAACCTACATAATCAAAGATGAATTGCTTTAATTTATAACTTAAAGAAACAAAAACACTTTAAACATCCCTTTGATTTATTTAATGAAAAATTGACCAGTTAAAAATGTTATCATTTGCAAGTTAATTTTGACGACTTTTTTTATTTTTCCTAAAGGGTGCAAGGCACACATTTTCCGAAGCCGTGGGAAAAAACGTAGCTAATCCTACTGCAATGCTTTTATGTTCTGCTAAAATGCTCAATCACGTAAATTTACCAGCGTATGGTGAGATGATAAGGAATGCAGTGAACAAAGTTCTTGCTGATGGAAAAGTACGTACTAAGGATATTGGTGGGCAATCAAGCACCAAAGAGTTTACTTATGCAGTCATTAATAATCTCGTACCCCCACAAATTTGAGAAAGGGTTTGTATCGAGTACAAGACAGAAGTCACTAGTTAGCCCAGTTTTTATTGATAATGAGTGATCTGTAATGTAATGGTTATTATTTATTTATATTTAAAGAAACGTGTACAGTTTATTTACTTTAGAAATTGTTAAATTGAAAATGTTATAGATGTTTTAAAAATGTATTTTAAGACCCAAACGTCTAGGCAGTGCAAAAGTATTTATTTGCTAGTAATTTATATAACAAATGTTTTAACAAATTTCTTCGAGAAATTGTGTGATTATCTAATTTTAAATCATCAATAAAAGCTCAACAACTTATTTCTTTGTTTTTCTTTCTAACGTATTTGTCTTTGAGTGAGTTATTAAAAATTTAAATAAAAAAGAAGTTAAATGATTTCGATAAGGCGTTGATTTCTTTTAACTCCATATTTCATGTAAAACAACCCAGAAAATGTTGCAAAGTGTTGTTTAAAACCGCAATAAGTTTGATAGACTGTATCTTCTTCAGGTGGAAGGATTATAATACAGTGATACTCATTAAAAGACAGTTTTCATTGGAGGGATAATTTTCAGACAGAAATTATTAAAAAGCGAATTCAAATTATTTTTTAAAACGTTGCAGCCACTCGTCACTGCTATTAAGCCAATTATCATTTACATATTTGGGAATTAATTTATTTATTTAATTATTTACTTAAATGTGTATAAAACTTTTTACAAAATCGAAAATTAATATAATTCCATTCCAAACAGAAACGTAAATTTTTATTTCCTTGATCATGAAACCACTTATACATTTCTCCATTCTGGAAAACACCGAACCTTTCAACGAATTTCTTTTAGGTAAGTTCATATACGTACATATTTCTTACAGTGCTTTAGATATTAGTTTTCTTTTTGGAGTTACCTTCCAAATTGGGGATTTTGCGACACCATATTTCTTATTGTTAGTTAAATATGTAACACTTGGCTCATTATGTAATTAATTATAAGTGATTTACCATAAAGGATAAAGGCAGTTTTTCATGTACTAACTAAAAAGACATTCGTTTCTATAAACGAAGGTTTAATTTGTTCACGGTATACGGCGGTCTAGGTAATTCACGTGTTGGTCACATTATACGAGGTTATATGGCGCTATCGCGAGTCTACTGAATTATGGTGCTAGACCAAAAGCTTTGAAGTAAATACAAGTCAGATGAAATGTTTCTATCATTAAATATATTTAAAAAATTTAAATAAATCAATAATGTTGAGGGAAAGCAATGTTTTTACGTTTTTATTCAATTATTTTTACTAATGTACAACCTTAGACTAGACTATTTCTATTTTTTGTTTCTTATTATTTATTATACAATCGAAAAAGAAAAAAAGAACCGTTTTTCATTTAGGTATTTACTTTCGTTCAACGGGTTTCGCTAATTCTTCAATCCTGGGTGTCGGCTTATATTTAAGAGCGTTTTTGCTTACTGAGAAAGGATTTTCTTTGACGTCCATTTCAGGAGCGTCAGCGCGTTTTTTAGGCGCTGATATTTCTTCTATTCTTGGAGTAACTAGAGATAAAAGGTTAATATCAGCCTCGGATCTATCTCCCTCAATAAAATGGAGAGGTTGCTGACGGTGACTCAAGCAATATGCGTATGTAATGGTAATAAGGAAATGGTTGAAGTATATTTCTAGTTTAAAGATAAAAAATATTTTTGAAACGCAAGGCAAAAATGTAATAAGGACTTCTAAATAAATGCGATAAAAAAATATCACTTACTTTTGGCTTTGAGGGCACCACGTTTTACCGCTCCTGGAATAATTGGCTTTTCTTTCCTTGTGTATCGTTCAGGAAGTTTATGAGCTAAATCATCTACGCGAGATGAAATTTGGTATTTCAGTGCTTTAGGCGAAACCTGCAAAACAAAATAAAATTATAAATATAAAGAAATGTCAAGCAAAATGCTTCAAGGGGCAGATAATTTACCATTTCATTTGGATCAAAATGATGCTGGTTCAATCTTGAAACAAATTACAATCAAGCTTTCAAGATTGAATAAAAAACATTATTTTTAATGGTCTTGGTATGCGAAAAGAAATTTTGCAGAGCAAATAAAGGTAAAAATCGATAATAAAATAGGCAAATTGCTACTATGCATTACATGCATTCTTTAATATTTTATTAACGAAAAAACAAATGTAAAACTGAATCTTTTACTAATTAGTTATGTATTAAAATTGATTATACGGAATGACTGGAAAAATAAAGCTGTACCATGTATATACGTCTTTTTATTAAAAACAAATCGTCCAAAATAATTTTTTAACGATTAAGAACGTTGGGTTTATACATCATGAACGTTATCAACCTTTTTGATGTAAGTTTCTGATATCGAAAAGTGGATAAGAGTGTTTGTGAGTAGATAAAGTGTACAACGTATTTTTCTTTTTATTTCCCATAGCCGATATACGTGTTCGTCAATTTCATACTCCAAAACAGATACCATGAGATTTTCGGTAACCGTTTTATCAATTTTTGCGTTGTGTTTGTGGGCTGGCGTGAGTTTATTATGGTTTCTTAGTTACGAAAATAGTTTTCTACGTTTATTGTCTACAAGATTGTTCGGTGCAAATGGACAAATGGGTGCACCGGTTCTCCTGAATCTAGATAGTCTAAGTAAAAAGGTCCAGCAGGAAATAACAGATAGTTTTGATAAATATGGATATAATTCGTACGTTAGTGATCTTATTGGTTTCCATCGCTCTCTACCGAATCCTTGTCCTTCGTCTTGTAAAGAAAACGAAAAAAGCTTACCGAAAACCTCGGTAATAGTTACATTCCACGACGAATCACTTTCAGTTTTAATGAGAACAATTAATTCGTTATTGAATAACACATCGCAAGAATTACTAGAAGAAATTATTCTGGTAGACGATGCTTCTGCAGAAGTTCGCATTGAAAAACATTTAGATGATTATTTGGTTAAGACAAAGAACATTAAAATAATACGCTCAAAAGAACGTAACGGCTTATCAAGAAGTCGAATGATCGGTTTGAAATATGCGAGTGCAGAAGTTGTGACGTTTGCTGATTCGAACTGCGAATTTCCCGCGGGATGGCTTGAACCCCTACTCAAAGAAATTAAAACTAATGAAAACGTTATCGTTAGCCCAGTCTTAGATATAATAGATCCCTATACATTTGAATACAAAATAACTAAACACGTTTTCGTTGGGGGTTTTAATTGGAATTTGAAGTTCAAATGGCTTGCAATTCCACCAAGGCGTGACGAAACAGCACCTGTTACAACACCAGTTCTTCCTGGGGGAGTTTTCAGCATTTCAAGATCCTTTCTGCTAAAGATCGGAGGGTTCGACGAGGGCCTTTCGTATATTGGCGGTGAAATTTTCGACATATCGTTTAGAGGGTGGATGTGCGGAGCAACAATAAAAATTGTACCGTGTTCTCATGTGGGATATTTGTTTCCAACGAAAATATCACAGAAGCTGCTTCCCAAGGAGGAGGATTTGTTAAAAAATTTGCAAAGAATTGCAAAGGCTTGGATGGACGATTATGTAGGATTGTTTTACGAACGAACTGGTGCCAGGCACATAAAACCGCCTGACGTGTCAAAAGAAACTGAAATACGTAGAAAATTAAGTTGTAACTCTTTCGAATGGTACTTAGAAAATGTGTATCGTGATTTTCATGTTCCCAAGGATACTGTTTTTGCTGGCCGATTGCGTAACTTTGATTTTGCAGTGTGTTTGGGTTCACAAATTGATGCTTATAAACATTTTCATCCGGTAAATATCGACGAGAATTGCGAACGAATTGAAGAAAATTACTGGTTATTTACAAATGATGGCAAAATACGACAGGACGATTTTTGTTTGGAGCGAAACGATGATGAAGTACATTTGAAATTATGTGATGATGGCAAGTTTCAGTTGTGGACTTATAATGAAACAACCCGAGAGATAAGATTGCAAGGTGATAACGATATATGTTTGGGTGTGTTTTTAAATACTGAAACTAACACCAGAAATATCGGGATACAAAACTGTAACAATAGATATTTTGGTAAAGCGTGGACATTTGAAATGTTCTGATTTTTAGATTGTTATTTTTTGTTAATAAATCATATATTAAATTCTCACTTTTGATGGATCCACATATTGAGAATCAATCGAAGGTCTCTTATATTTTCTAGTTTTGCGAACAGGCTCGGATAAAGTGTCCAAGTGAACGAGCAAAGTATTCCAGTCCTTTACTACTTTCCTCTAAAAAATTGAATTATTTGTTTTGATGTGTACTGTATAATTTTAATTGGATTAGTTTTACCGGTTTTGGTGTAGGTTGGAAAACTTTCTTGGGGACTGCTATTGACTTGCAATACTCAATAGCTTCTTTGAGCCTTTCTGCCTTACTTTTAGATTTTTTCTTAGTTTTTGAGTCAATACTTGCTCTAGCGGCTTCCTCTTTTCTAGTAAACGAAAATAATGAAAAACAAATTTTACATTATTTTACTTTGAAAAACAATTATTTGATTTTATAGTAAATGAGAGGAAAATTAAATTACAATTAAAGCAATTTTTGGATAAATAGGATCAACTTTTACATTTTACTATCAGTTCAAAAGATAATTAATTAATCAATATGATAACTCACACGATACATACTTATTTACTGTTGTCTACAGTAGGAATATCTACAACGGTTCATTTAGTTTGTTTTTTTAGCTTCGTGCATAAAAGAAGCGTTTAATGAGTAAAATAATAAAGCCCAGTGTTTACGCTTGTGGCCTAATGATTGAAATTTTGTTTCCGATTTATATTTTTTTAATGTAAACAGCAAATGATTTTTTAGTTTTCACACACACTTACTTCTTTTTCGCTGCTAGAGCTTTTTTATAATAGTAATAGACAGAATTCCATGTTTTCTTTACATTTGCATTCACTATACGGTAGCGCTTTTTCCTTTGTTTCTTTGGCACATTCCGACAGGTCCTGAAGTATTTTTTCTGAAGATTTAGTTTCCTGGAAAGACAAACCGTGAACCAGAGTTAGGAAAAGCGTAACCAGTATTAATTTCGAATGAGTGATGTACCAGAAGGAAAAACTTTTAAATATATATTTATATAAATTCTGAAAGTAAGATTGTGCCAATGTGTCTAGTAAACACGAAAATTTAATACCTGGCTTAGTAATTAAACATATTGACTTCTTATTTTCTAATTATCTACATATGTAGAAATAAACAAGTATTTGGGAATATTAGGAGTCATTCTATAAAAAAACATGTTTCCCTTTAAATTTTCAAAACTCCTTATTCAAAATAAATTATAAAAGAAAAAACAGGACTGTCAAAACGTTATTTAAACTTTGTATGGATAAGTTTACCTAGGCGTCCTGAGTAAAATAAACAAATTATTTGATCTGTAATCAAAAATGTGCCGATGAGTAGATAAAGTGTACAACGTATTTTTCTTTTTATTTCCCATAGCCGATATACGTGTTCGTCAATTTCATACTCCAAAACAGATACCATGAGATTTTCGGTAACCGTTTTATCAATTTTTGCGTTGTGTTTGTGGGCTGGCGTGAGTTTATTATGGTTTCTTAGTTACGAAAATAGTTTTCTACGTTTATTGTCTACAAAATTGTTCGGTGCAAATGGACANTTCTAGTAATATTATATATAAAAGATATTATGAATGCAACAGCACAGGGCAAAGGAGTATTACGTAGTTAGTATCAGCAATTTCTTATGCTGAAGTGTACGATGTGTTGCATACCTATTTACAAACAATTCCTTTAAATTTAAGTTTTCAAACAATTTTTAACACAACGAAAGTGATTAAACAAATTATTTACAGAAGTGAATTTCGACCACTCGAAGCAGTGGTGTTAATAGTTTCGAGCTCACAGTGACTGATAGGGGGAAAGAACTTGTAGATATTAAACGAATGTGGTACTGGAATTCAACATGTTGGAATTAGTCATTAGAATCGAGTCTTATATGCTTAAAATTGATTTCAATATTGATCAGATTTGACGCCCCTTGGTGGGAGAACGTCCTATTGGAGTATTATTTCCTTAGTTCATTTCTGCAATAATCTCAGATAGAACAAACACGTATTAAAGTGATTTTTCTTTAGCATTAATAATACTATTATTAGAAGCATGTAAAAATGCTATGCTATGTTCAGTTAGTTAACTTAACTAACATCATACAAAAATTAACATGTCGTAAACGTACCATAGAGGGATAGTTTTTACGTCTTTTGTTCTTTCAGGAATCTTTCCCTTCAACACTCCTGGTTTCACAGGCGATTCATAATATCCGATAGGCTCTTTCTTTTGAACGAATTTTTTTACAATTTTGCGAGCTCTCGACAACTGAGTCAGTCTCCAATTGTATTTATATTTCTCAAGAATTTTCAGAAATTTGGGATCGACATCCGGTAGAGGCGGCGGAGGCGGTGGAAGTCGTGGAGGCAGTTTACGCTCAGGTATAGGCGGACACTTAGGAGGGACTATAGGCATTTTCGATTATTATTTTTTTGTTTACTTTTTCTATATTATTTAATGTATTACACACAAAAATTTGGACAGGTTGTACAAAAATGGGTTTGAAAGGTTACAATTGTTTTTGTTTAACAGGCATCTTGATTGATGATACCACATTCAAAAGCATAACTTGTTGGAAATACAGTAGAACCTCGATAAAATAAAGACCAAATACTAAAATAATTTGAGTTATAACTTACTAAGGGTTCAAGTTTAAGCTTTAAAATTATGGGTTTCCAGTGACTTAGCAGCAAACTCTTCAGCTTTTTCCTGTAGGATAGGTCCACTAATGTTTTTACATATTTCTACACTGTCTAAACCATGTAAACAAGTATTTTTCTAAACTAGGAAATTCAGAAATTCTTCGTATTTTACATAGAAAACTTCCTCCCGATTCAAATCACTTTTCACTACTTACTGAGGTGCGATGTCCAAATTATTCGTTTAAGTTATAGAGGGTTTTTGTTATAAGTAAAGGAGGTTTTGGACTTCGAAGGGAAAGGAACACAAAATTTTATGAATTTATAGAGGTTATTACGTTATCGAGGTTTAAGTTATCAAGGTTCTATTGTACTTTTACTGTTTATACATATATTCAATAAGCAGAGACTTTTATATATATGTTTATCATAAAATCGCCATGAAACATCTAATTAGATGTACCTAATAAACGCCATCTCGCCATGTAATTATATGTGTATTTTCAGCGGAAAAATGAAAAATCTGTTTCATATTTTCAACGATTTGAAATTAACAACATTGACTTCTAGTCCTTACGTTAGTAAAATAATTAATATTCCTTTGACGAATAATAAGATTCTTTTGAAGGATGATATTTTCGTATTAGATAGCCCTTCTGTATATCCATCTTACCTTTTTTTAATTTAAATTTCAACATAAGAGATAGACAAGACTAATAGGTCTACCTCTTTTTTCACTATTTGTATTGTTCTTTGCCTTTTTGTCCCTTACATAACACGAGATTAGAGATTTAAAAATTGGCATATTAGGTATTAACTCTTATTACTCGAAGGAATTAGTTACCATCTCATAAAATAACCCAACTTATACGGTTATCATGTGAAATGTCATACTTAAAAAGCGTAATCGAATGTTGATTATGAATTATTAAAGAAAATCTGACAGATAATAATTTTACTGTCGACTGTCGCCAAAAGTTGAATGTCGGTTGATAATGAAGTACCTACTTCTTATAATATAATGGCTTTCCGGTAAGCAAATTTATGCGGAATACGATGAATATACTGAAAGGTTAATGTCCTTATTCTGGTCCTACAAAAAACTGGGTTGTGGATCATACATGGGAAAATACGAAGGCGAAGGTCAAATNCTGTTTTTAGGATCCGGCCGGATACAGGATAGTGACGTCGGGTATCCGTCTGTGTCGCGTAATTCTACCAGAGAAAAACGAAAAAACCAACACCAACAATAATAATTTAATAGGTAGAACAAAAAAAACTACATAATGAAATTTGGTAATTAAGACTATTGGGATAGGTCGTTTGTCCTAACTTGTAGTATTTATTAATTACTATACTAAATTATTTGTTATTTTAATATAGTTCTGGTGTTTACTTTTTCAACAATAACTTATTCGTATGATTTTGACACCTTGCAGACTTTTAATGTTTATAAATATTATAGCCTCTTTTCAATGGTTTCAACTCAATCTTCTGACTGACTTTAGGTGTCTACGAAGTCAGATAAGTTAGGAAGAAAGGAGTAGTAGGGATATAAAGCAGAGGATAGCGCAGAGTCGAGTCGCCTTCAATGCTCACGAAAGAGTAATTTAAAAATTGGAAAAAGATTGTTGAGGGTGTATGTTTGGAGCGCGACGCTGTACGGATGCGAAACATGAACGGTGGGTGCGGCGGAAAAGAAAAGATTAGAAGTGTTCGAAATGTGGTGTTACAGGCTAATGATGAGGATACCGTGGATAGAGAAGGTTAGAAATGAAGAAGTATTAGAAGGAATAGGAGAACAGAGGACTCTATGGAAGGCTGGTAGGAAACCTTCTCAGGCATGAAGGTCTAATCAGAGACATATTAGAGGCAGAAACAAGCGTTAGATTACTGTTCGCAAATAGTTAAGTATATGGGATGTTATAGTTTTAGGCGAATGAGAAGATTAACTCTCAGGATAGAAAAGAGTGGAGATCAGAAATAGGTGAGATAGGTTGGTAGGACACCTTCTCTGGCATGAAGGTCTAGTTAGACATATTAGAGGCAGGAACAAGCGTTAGGAGGGGTAGAGATAGATCTAGATTAGATTACTGTTAGCAAATAGTTAAGTATATGGGATGTTATAGTTTTAGGGAAATGCGAAGATTAACTCTCAGGATAGAAAAGAGTGGATATCAGAAATAGGTGAGATAGGTTGGTAGGACACCTTCTCAGGCATGAAAGTCTAGTTAGAGACATATTAGACTCTGAAACAGGAGATATGGGATGTTCTAGTTTTAGAAAAATTCGAATATTAGCTCAGGATAGGAAAGAGTGGAGGTGCGTGTCCAACCAGTCTTAGGACTGACGACCTTATAATGATGATGAGCAACATAATTACGTCCCAAACAATAAATGCAATTAATGTTGGCAGTATGGCATACAGACTTTTTTTCAACTTCAAAGCGCGTACTTGATATTTGCCATGAAAAGCTTCAACAAATTACTGTAACTGTCGTGTCATTTGGCACGGGATTCAGTAGAGTACAGTTACCAACTGTTCAGTAAGACATGTGTTAATTTACGCGATGTTAAAGACGTTTCCTATAGTGATTGAAAATTGAGAAGGTTAACCTTGTATGCCTATAATGTTTACGCATACTCCATATTTAGGATTTAGTTTTAATATAACAAATAAACAAAAAATACCTTTTATCTTATTCAAAATAATACCTAAATAATAATTTATACTGTTACAACATTCAACCCAAAAATTGTTAATAGGGCTTATTCTAGTTTTATGTCAGGACATTTTTATTATCAGTCACCTTAGATCCCACTGCGTGCCGCTCATTTATTTTAATAATTAAATAAAAGCACAAGATCTCTTTATTCTTCGTTTTAACGATAAGTAAAAATTTGAACGTAAAGTCGGAACAATCCTATACACTGCTGTTTTGCCAATGTTGTTGAATAGTACGTCAAAAATTCTTATTAAGAGGTGCTAAAACAAACAAACAAACGAGAATTTCACACATTCGTTCAATTGTTGATGATAAAGTAGAAGTTGCAAACAGTAATAGAGAAGAGTATTGGTGATATCAACGATGGCATAAGACAGAACCCTGCGTTAAATCAAATTACTGTTGTCTTTAGTTGGTCGCTTGCTTGGTTCTATATGTTACAAAATCAACTTTTCGTGGAAAGCTCATTCAAAGTTTCACTATGCTTCAACTATGGCATCTTTTTTGTTTATAGTATGCCTAATTACTATAACGCTAATTTATACTTAATGTGTTTTTTCAAATTTAAAGATTACTTTTTAAAAATAATGCAAAACAGACAAGGAACATTGGATTCCGAAGATGATATTTTTTATATATATTCATTCTATGTTATTTTGGGAGTTATACGACATGCAGAAGCAGACATCATAAAGCGTCTTTTTCTACCATTTTTGAAACAAGGCTGTTTGGATTTCAGATTAGGGCTTTCTATTTTAAACAAGGTATTTTCATACTACCTAAAATACTAATTTGTTATATTAAAGTTTAATAGAAGAGATATAAACAAATATCAGAAACAACGAAGTCTAGTTTCCTGTTTTAAAACAGGACGATCAGATCAATTTTGTTTCGTGTCGTCTTTGTTATTGTTTTTGTTAGGAAAATCTTCAAACTTTTTAANTTTGTTTCGTGTCGTCTTTGTTATTATTTTTGTTAGGAAAATCTTCAAACTTTTTAAAAATTTGTTTAGTTTTAATTATAATAAATAATAAAATAGTAATTATGAATGGTAGAGAAGAATGTGTTGAAGATATTAGTTTTGGGGTAAGACAAATAGACACAATCCAGTATTAAATTAAATATTTGATTAAATTCCTCAATGAAGCCTCCTTTCAATGAAAACTGTAACAAAAATTGTAAAAAAAGATGGAGAGTGTATTTATGTAGGTATATGCGTTACAAGATATACATCAATTTTCATATTTATTTAGCTACAATCATCATCATTATCATCACCATAAAGTCGTTAGTTCTAAGTTCATATCCTGAGCTACACTTAGCATTTCCCTAAAACTAGAACAACCCACATCCTTAACTGTTAGTTACAATAACATAAATATATTTATTTAAACAATGTGCTCGATTATATATTTAAATAATATCACCCCTGTTGACCGAGGCGCGAACTCGCCCCAATCAGCAAAACGCGACGACTGCCGAAAGTTGACCTTAATTCCGATCCTGTGCTTGCAGTTCGTTGGCAGTTGCGTACGCAGCTTCCGTTGCATGCTAACATTTACTCTCATTGCATTAAAGCAGGCACGTATAACTCAAAAAATTAGAAACGCTCCTGCTTTACAATATTCCTACCCTGCTATGTTAAGTATTTTTAATTATAACAGCATTTCTCGTATTCCATTCATTCTCTCATTCGACGTGCTGGTGAATCCAACGAAATTATGTAATTAACAGTACTAGTTTCTGTTTCTTCACGGTCCACGGAACTCATCTGGCATACGCATCGTGTTGTCTGCGAACATACATACGTAATGCACATATACATACAAGTACATGTGTATCTAAGTATGTATGTATGTATGTAGATATATTTGATCGTCGATTACGTACGCAAGGAATAAATTTCCGATTCAAACGAACCGGTCACTATAAGAATTACTTCTGGTTTGCGAATCGCGAAATGATCCGACCGACAACATTCTCGTTTTACCGCCAGTTAGTGGAAGAACGAAACCAAAAGCGATTGCTGATATGGCAAAGACAGCGATAAATCGAATCCAGCTATCAGCACCCTTATAAGATTTAATGTCGTTTTCTTAATGCCGATTAACTAAATCACTAACGAGGAAATATTTAGAGCCTTCCAATCG